CTGGGCATGATGGCATGGTGGAAACGAAACCAGAAAACTAATTGCTTCTCCAGCCATTTGGGTCTCCACCAGACAGAGTAGACAACTTTTAGGTACCTGAACAACATGAGCAATAGAAGTAGAGTTAGAGTCCAAATTCTTGGGTTGCTAATGAAGCCCTTGACAAAATCTTCCAACTTCGATTGATGCCTGATGGAATGGGAAACTGAAAGCCCTCCTGCCTAAGCTGCAAGTCCCAACTAAGATTACTATTTCTGTTTCTTACAGTTCTCAGAGTTGTTGAATGAAGTGGATTCAAGAATGTATTAGGATGATATAGAGAGTTTAAAGGAGCTGAAAAAAGGAGTTGATTCTAGGTCTGTAATGCTGGATATTGGTGGCTTGAAATTGAGATTTGAATCTGATAGTCGTGTAGATGTAGAGAGGGATAATCCATTATCCTATCTACTGATCTAAATCCCAGAACCAGGCTCTTTTACTTAATCTCATTAAGCTAGTTCAAATTGGGCTTTAGGCCCATTAAGTTCATCTACTCACTTAGTCTCCTAACTGCTACCCAGTTGGTTATCCTTGAATGGTGTGGGACCCAAACATTGATTTACACATCAGCCACATGGGTTCAACCTAGCCTTTGTTACAAGGTCTGGCTAAATTCACTATAGAAGACAGTGAACCCCTGAGTCCATCACCATGGGCTCTTAATGGGCCCAACATTTATACCAAATGGTCCTTGGGTCAAGTCACTTTATAAAAACCCAAAGACTGTGAGTAGATGCAAAATTAGCCCATCAGGTATTACCCTCAATAGTCTTACACTTAACCTCTCCCTCGGCTGCAAGGTATAGTGTTGCACTCTCTACTCACATGGATCTTGGGAATTAAAACCTTTTGCAAACATTTTGAAACTATATATATATATATTGCAAAACAAATTTCAACAGTTGAAATCAACTGCCGACAATTTAGGTTTCCATCAGAGAGAGTGCAATCCCGAGCATTCACTTTGTCAGACAAAGGGGCTGATCCTGTCACTCTGATCACCCACTCAGATGAATTATCGGACTGTCCCAACATACCCAAGTTTTGACCCCCTCTAAGGATCTTACTTATTGACATACCAAAGATAGCCCAATCCGACACCTAGTGTAGTATCATCGAGTTTAGGGGTCAGGTGTAACATTCTAATTTTGCCCATCTATCTCCAAGGTCTAGGGCAATATTGGAATTCTGGTCCGGTTCATAGTTTCAAGAAAACCCACACTGCATGTACCTCAGGTATCACCCTAGCAATTGAGACAAGCCACCCCAACCAACTTGGCGGCACATCAGTGTCAGCCTTGGCAGAATAAATCTCCCCATATCTATCAAACGACTGTGAAAATTCTAAACTAACACGAGTCTCATATGTGTCTATTTTAAAGGTATTACACAGAAACACACCATAGTAACATGAATCAAATATGTACTTTATTCATTTATATTAAATGTCATAATGTACATCATTTTGATTGGAGCTAAGGGCATACACTGTCTAACAAGTATAGACCATCCACGAGAAAATATTGTGGATGATAAATTGGGATGTGGTCGATCCCTATTCACGCTATTTTGTGGACAGGGACCGTCTACATATAATAGAACACCATATCTTACCGTGAACAGGACAATATTTACACACTACCAAACATCACCTGAATTGGCCCTTACATAATATATAAGCAAAAAAGATGAGCCGTTTAATTATATTGCATGTCTATAAATATGTACAAAATATAGTCTTCTAAGAGGACTTCTATGTAGTTGCTCGATCCATTGGGTGCGTATACGATCTGTATTTACAAAGATGAATATGGGTATGTCTTGACTCAGTCTCATTATCACTTAATAATTAGAATTTCTTTTATTTTGTTTAGAAGTATAATTTCAGATTTATATGCATGAACGTTGATAAAACTTTAATAATTTGACATGATATAGCAGCTGATACAAGTGGGGTTTCCAGGTGAATTCCTTAATTAATTGCACAGTTAATTTCCCACTAACTGTTGTTCACAGGCGAACAAACTCCTATTAACACTTTTGGCAACCCTATTTGAATTTTGAACTGTAAAATCTCCAGTTATTAACATTACTGTAAAATCTCCATTGATTAACATTCCTTAATCAATTTGGCCAAAAATTCTTAACCTTATTAAGTAAGTATTTAAATATTAATTGAAATTATAAAAAATTGAAAAACAATAACAATTAATTTATCATAAAAATTAGCATTTCAAATGTGATGAGATGCAAGTCCACGCCAATTCATTTAAGTATCTAATTAATTTATAGAATTTAAATGTGAGAAACATGTGCACACCCCCAATGAAAGAGGGTTGTTTTATGTCTCTTTCAATGTACCACCGATGAAAAATTATCAGAAAAAAAAGGTAAAATTAACAAGTAAAATGCTATTTTTGCCATCATTATTTATTTTGCAATTAAAAACAACCAAGAGTTTGAACTATCTTACTTCCAAACAAAAGTCTAGAATCCTTCACAGAGATATTCCCACACTTTTTATAGCAATATGTACACGCATAGGAACCAGGTCTGCCAATTAGATCATCAATGAAAAGCATCCAAATTAAAGAATATTTTACACAATAAATTGTTTTGGGCCCCAAAAATGGTTATCCACATTAATCTCCCTTGCATGCTAGTCTCCTATTTGGGGTCGAATTTGAATCCAGAATCCCTTCAAATGTGGTCAGAATCAGCTCCACTTTTGGAGTGCACTTTATTATTTAAATCAAAGAACTTTAAACGAGATAATATTGCTTGTAAAAATTACTAACAATCAAGAAATTGAGATTGGAGTATAAGGTTATTATGGATAATGGACTATATAACCGAATAGATCAAGAATCTAGAAGGTCCCTTTCCTTATGGGGTCACTGTAACTTTGGAGGAGAAGCTCTGAGGCGCGTTTGAAGACATTGTCTTTAGAACATTATTTGCCCCCACTCAGTTTCACTGAGTTTGTTGTTGGGTTACAAGTAAATTCGTTCTTAGGATACAACAGAGCCTTGGGCGAGAATCTACAACCAACAAAGTTGAAGAGTCTCCAAAGAAACCTTCTGTGAGACTATAGTAGACTGGACTGAGAGAGTGAGAGATAGTGAATTTCGAAATTGTATGTTTTGGAGTCTGATTCATGCTCCTTAAATAATTTGTGAAGAAGTATGAACAAAAGGTAGGTGCTGGTTTAGAGAAGGCACCTTGAATAGTCACAATTTCAAACATTGTGACTGCTTAAAAAGTAATTAACAGTTAGTGACTGTTAACTTTGAATTGTGCCTCTTGATCACACCCAATCGAATCGTGACCATTGATCTCATCAACGGTGATCAACGGTCAGCAACGCACCAAAACCAAAGCTACCCATCGCGAGCCACGTGGGTGCGAGCAAAGAGTTTTGTAAGAGAAAAACTGATTTTTTCAATCAAGTGTGCAGGTGCAATTTCTCATATAATTGACCAATCAAACCCATTGGATTTAATCTCTTATGAGATTAAAATCCAACAATCCCCCACATTGATTGATCAATTACATAGTTCTCTCTCAATCCAAACTATGACACAATTATGCATACAAAAGGTGTTTATCAACTTAACCTTTTGTTAGTATAAATATCTCAAAGCCTTGTCAAAGTTATTGATGGTAAAACCTTAAACCAATTACTCTCAAGATAGACCAGAGACACTTATACACACAAAAATGTCCAGCCTCTACAAGAGTTTCAAGTTTTGTTCAGCACTGTTATGGCCATGTGCTTTTTTCCTAGTTTCATGAACAATCCCGAGAGCAAACCCAAACCCTCATGAGAAGCGGCACCACTTCTATATTCACATAAGTGAAATTCCACTATGTGCTCCGTTATTTGACACATTTCAAAACTTCATTAAGAGTTTATCTCAACCTTTCATCATAACGAACAGCATTGTTTATGTTGTGATAGGAAATTTCTCAATGTCAGTGCTAATAGTCACATTGTTGTAACTTGTTGTTACCCATTAAACCCAATACTAATGGTTTTCAGTTCAGGTTGGGTTAACATTACAGGTGACTAAGTAAAGGGTTTTAATCCCATATCTTTGGTTGTCATTCTTACTAGTTCTCTGGCCAAGCCCTTGGTAAGAGGATCAACCAGGTATTTACTTGACCTCACATAGGTTATAGTGATAACTCCATCTTGAATCAGTTGCCTAACAAATTCATGTCTGAGACTTATATGTCTGGACTTACCATCACCACTGTAGGCCCTTGACAGAGTTGCCTCACTGTCACAGTAAATGGAAATTGGAGGCATAGGACTAGGCCAAAGTTTTATATCCAATAATAAATTCCTAATCCATTCAGCCTCTTTTCCAGCAGCCGCTAAGGCTATGAATTCGTATTTCATGGTCGAATGAGATATACAAGTTTGTTTCTTGGATGCCAGCATACTCAAATTGCAGTATTTTCTACTAGCTTTATACTAGAATCATATATTTTCTACTAGCTTTAAACTAGAATCATATGGCGTGCTATATTCATTAAACCCTAAATGCTTAAATTTCTCAAGTACTTTCTCAATATAATGTGATTGGCTTAATGGCATAGCCCCTACTATGCTTTTTAACTTTTATTCCCAAGATGGTATCTACTTCTCCTTAATGCATAGCCTCTAAAGCACCTCATTGCGCCGCACACATGCGCGCACACGCGTTGCGCGGTATCGAATCCCCATTCTCTCCTCTACTAATTCTAAGGAGTGTAAATCARCTCCTATTGAAATACTGAAAACAAAACTTATAATTTTCCAATGTGGGACAAGTTCAAAACTGGGTTTTGTAAGAGAAAAACTGATTTTTTCAATCAAGTGTGCAGATGCAATTTCTCATATAATTGACCAATCAAACCCATTTGATTTAATCTCTTATGAGATTAAAATCCAACAATCCACACATGGCAGAAAATATGCTAAGAACCCTCTAATCTTTGTTTATCTTTTGAAGCTTAAAAGTTAAAACAAGTCTCCCAATTTCTCCTCTCTCCATGGTATCCCCACCCGATTCCATTATTGAAATACAAAAGGAAGAAAAAGAAAATATCATACATATAAGCCTCTAAGAAAAGCCAAAGGAATCAAAGCATCCCACTTTGCATGCTCTGAGATTAAACTTGACACCACTTATATATATAGAGAGATTTGGGTATTATAAAAGCAGGATTATGGTATTTGTGCGTTGGAATGTGGTTGTGGTTGTGGAGTTTGACTCATTTTCTTCTTTCTCTTGTACTGTCCATAAAAGTAAGATGTGAAACCCCAAAGAGAAAGTACGAGAGCTACTCCTTTCTCAGCTGTGAACTTCTCCCGAAAGAAAACAACGGCTAAGATCTCCAACACCGGAAGCAACACAGCACTTGTTATACCACCCACCAATGATGAAGCGACGAAGACAACCCCAATAGCTCCCAAGTAATAGAATTGCCAAAAGATTGCACACCAAACAAGCACCACGTAATACTTCACTGTCCCAAGCTCATATTCTCTTGCCTCCCTTGAGATGGCCTACAACACAAATGGGCAAATAAACAATAATTTTTTTTAGGGTTTGAGTTATTTATAAATCTATCAACTATTTGACATATAGCACATAATTAATGAAAAGAAAATAGCATTAATGCTTATTTTCCATGTTTAATCCCCCATTAATTATTTCTTTGTATTGGTTTTTAATATTTTGCAAAACCTCACAAATCTCATGAAAATTTCCTGTTGGATATATCAGTCTCAAAAATGTTTAAACAAAAACTCTGAACTTTTATAAAAACCAAGTTATCCAAATTTTAAAAGCAAAAACATATAAAATGGATTTATTTAAATAGAGAAAATGAAGTGAAATTTCAATGAAATATCCAAAATTTTGGAAATTTTCATTTTGTTGGGAACTAATAAAATACCAAGTCTTCAAGCATTTAAAAGTCTTGAGACTTGGAGTAGTACCTGAAAGTCTTTGTTCACTATCATTCCCACAGTGCAGAACAAAGTGGCAAAGATGGACATCACCATCTGTATCTCCATAACCAGAGGATAAGTTATGGCCTGTTTGGCTTT